GATGATAGGGAGAGGCGAGTCATTGCTGATCACAAATATAACACAGCCAATAGCAAAGCAAGGAGAGCTGAAATTCAACGAGCTCTGATGCTGCAGCGTACTTCAGATAAACAGGTAATGACTATTGGTAACTAAATAGGTTTAAGTAAACTTTAAATGTATACAAACCTTATTTTGGTTCTCCTTTCACAATTCTGTTTTTCAGGAAATGGAGCCAGAAATGCTTGGAATTGTCAGTGGTTCAAGGTCAATAGCACAAGCAATGGTGGATGCAGCTATGAAGGTAGTTATAATATGTCTTTGCGTTTGTTGAATGCCAAGCAATTCAACTACATGTAGAGAATTAAGCGTATATTTAAATACAGAGAAGAAGTCTATGTTTTGTTTAACTTGGTTTCACTGTGGGGTTGTAGGCTGCATCTTCGGTGAAGAATGACGAAGACGCGGGGAAGATGGTCCAACAGGCTTTAGACTCAATCAGCGAACATCATCAGCCATTAGATAACTCTATAGTGACTGTGAAGCATCAAGACCAAGCGAATGGCAGCTTGGATCATCATCAAAGCCGATCTCCCTCAAACACAGGAGAGCCAATGTCTGAAGGATTGATTAGCTCTTGTGTTGCAACTTGGCTCATGATTCAGGTAAGTCAAAAAGAAATGTAATTGGACTGATGAAAGTCAAGAATACAAACTTTTTCAGTTGAGGTTTATTTCTCATTTTATACCTTAAGAAGGTAAAGGGGTATTGATTTGAACTGTTATTAATGCATGCAGAAATGCACAGAGAAGCAGTACCCACCAGGTGACGTGGCGCAGGTGATGGAGACAGCAGTGAGTAGCTTGCAGCCGCGGTGTCCCCAGAACATGCCGATCTACAGAGAAATACAGACTTGTATGGGATGGATCAAGAATCAGATCATGGATCTTGTCAAAACATGAATATAATTCTCGAGTTCTTTACATAGATACCTGACATCTTCATCTGAGAAAGAAGAAAAAGATAACAGAAGATATTGTTTAGTTTAGTATAAGGGTCAACATAAAAGTTAGTTTAACACCTGAACACCTACTCGATTAGTTACCCATTTATTCTGTAACTTTGGAGCTAAGGGTGGTCACAAGCATCATGGTATTTTCAGTATATTTGGTACTTGGCATAGTTTGTACAAGTAGTATAATTTTGGTTTCGTACTTGGTTTGAAGTACTTGTTAAAAACGAGTATAAAAGATAGGGACAAACCCATGAAAAACATTAAAGTGGCAATGAGTTCCATGTTAAACCTCCAAAGTTTATACTTCCATATTAAGCCTTTAAACTAATAACGTTCTTAACAACAACAAAAATATATATGAAAGTGGTTCAAGCAGCTATGAAGGTAGTTATAATCTTGCTTTTGCAAATAAGTTAAATAGGTTACATGATATTCAATTTGGTGACCAAGTACTCGACTTTCCGGATCAAATACCGATCAAGTAGCAAATATGAGCAAGAAATATGAGAAAGTAACGAGTAGTTATGCCTCAAACCCTCAAATCCTACTTGAAGAGCAACGTAAATAAAACCGCAAGAGTCAAATTCACGTTAGGAGGTGATAAAAACTTGAATAAAGCTACCAACGAGCTTCCATTGACAACGAACTTAATAGAAACAATGGACCTTCATCTGTTGCCATGGAATTTGTTAGTAAGAAGTTTCAGAACTTTGTTCATCATCAACAACTTCCTATTTCAACATTGCTTCTAATTCTTTCTCTCCCTCCACATTACTCAAAACCCCATTAAAACAGTGGACCGTGTCGAAACACAACGAACTTCAATGTAGGCTCATTGACGAATGCTGAACCTTCTGAAATGCAACGACGTTGTGGCTAACGTGACGGGTTTGTTGTGATAAAACAAAGCCCACTCTGAATAATAGAAGTTTTTAGTACCCGTGTTTGGTTTTGGTGATATATTTGTATGTTAGACATTAGTCATGTATACTCAGTTCATGATGGATATCAATACCAATCAACTTAAATTATATGGTTAATGTTATATGGAATGAAACCATTAGTAAGGATTACTTTTGTCCTAATGACATCGCCCTATGTATAATCAACTTACCTCCGTTGTAAAAGAAGAACGCAAATACCATGAAAAAAAGCAAAAAATCAAATGCAGCTTTTAAATAATACATCTGAAGTTGGATATGTAAATCTCACATGTCTGGATTGGCCTCCTCAGGAATAACTTCTAGTGTGACCGTTTCTATATTTGATCTTTTCACAACTACTCGGATCCGCTGCCCAACTCTATCGTCCATTATCTCTATTAACTGCAATTTAAACCTCATTCACACGTGAATCATTTCTGTTCGAATAATAAGAAGAAGAATGTAGATTGATGAGATGATACATGCCTCTTTGATTGTCTCGACAGGCTTCCCGTCAAATCTCACAACAACATCACCTGGCTTGAATCCAGCTCGATCAGCCGGTGATCCTGGAATCACCTGCAGTAACAGCAAATATATTGGTTGAATACGAAAAAAGTGACACTAATTAGGATTTACACAAACAATATGGATCTTTTTCATGAATGAATGGGGTTACTCACCGTAGGGACAAGAATGCCTTTTTCCACATCAGGAAACATCGGGTATCGTTCTTTAAGCTGAGCAATGATCATTTTGTTGAGTTCGATCATTTTTAACCCAATCCATGGACGAATTACTCTACTGCAACAATAGTTTTCTATTACTATCTCTCTCAACTTTCAAGATGAGAAACAACCAAAGCCAAGCCAATGATGAACAGGTGTAGAGATTACTACTATCATACCCGCTTTTCTTGAAATGTTCAATGATTTTGGAGACTGAATCAATTGGTACAGAAAACCCGAGCCCGTCTGCAGCTAAGACTTTCATGATGTTAACACCAACCACTTCTCCATCCAAATTCACAAGAGGCCCGCCAGAGTTTCCCTGCGCCACAAGTAAGCAAAAGAATTTAAAAAGGAAAGACATAAACGCCAAACATATACAAGATCTCAAAAACCATGGAGAAGGAAAGATGTGGATTATTACAGCATTGATCGCACAGTCTGTTTGGAGGTATTCTCTACCTGCGCCTCTTAAACCCAAATCACTGCTTTTACGATCAACACAACTACACCGAAAAAACAGCAAAAACCGAAGTAAAGATCAAAATTTAGCAGGTATTGTATGTGTACTACAGGTATGTGTGTTTATATTTACCTAACAATACCAGCCGTTATTGTATTCTGAAGAGAAAGAGGACAGCCAACAGCTATAACCCAGTCCCCTGGACGAAGCTTATTTGAGAAACCAAGTTTGGCAGTTGGCAACGGAGTCTTTGAGTTTATCTTCACTAATGCAATGTCGGACTGTAAATCAGCATTCAGCACCACACCTTCAAACGTCCTACCGTCTTGCAATGTCACATCAACCTGTAACTCAAAATCTCATATGTTCCAGTAAACAGAGCACATCCAAGTATTTGAAGAACCAAATCATATCATTAGCTATAATCGAAGAGTTAACTATAGGTCCAAACTATTAACCATATTTCTTAAGAAAAAAAAAGTCATTTCAAGATCCATTGGCAAGATGGTAAACTTCCTGGGGGTAAAAGGACCATACACTCTAATTCATTCACTAGTCCTACAAGATCTTTTCTAAACCAGAATACGATGAGCTGATCATTTTTTTGAACTTACCCTTCCTTTAGATGACTGGCGAATACTCTGAAAATCGACTACAACGTGAGCACAAGTCAGTATTGTGCCATCAGCGTCAATGATTGTTCCAGAACCAATACTCTTTCCAGTGGTAATCCCATGAAATCCTTTTACAAGAAAAAAAAAAGATCATCCAACAACCCCTGTGAATCATTCATCCTTACAGACAAAATGAAACTATAAGAAAAAAGAAGTGAAAGAAACCTTGAGGAACAGAAAGATTGACAACAGCTGGTCCTATTCTTGCAGCAGCGTTAGCGATTGTATCCCTCCCCAAGAACCCACCACTCGGTGGTTTCACACTATCCGAATCTTCAACAGGAACTCTCTTCTCATCATTAATTGCACCTGCTGCTTCTGGTTTTGGATTCACTCTGGCAGAAAACGCCGCCAAGTTTCCTACATTATATACAATTTTCAAAAAAAAAAACACTTTACAGCTCTTTTTTGGGAAAGAAAAACAATTGCAGGCTCCATATGTAAAATTACATATATAGATAGATAGAAAGAGAAAGAGATTAGAATTTGCATTACGAACCAAACAAACTTTGCTCTGTGCGATTAATCAAACCCTGTGAAATCTGCCAAGGTAATGACTTAGATTCCCGAATAGATTCTGGGATAGCCACTGATATTTTCGTTCCTATAAATACATGTCACATGAAGAATAAGATCACATTTGCAAATTTGCAACTGCACACTAACCGTTAGGCAAAAAGCAAAAAAAAGGATAAGATGTTAGTTAGAGCTTGGTTTACCTGCATCGGTACCATATACAATTCCTGAAGTAGCTGTAGCTACAGAGACGATGCGTATTAGCGAGCTTGCCTTAGAAGAAGAGACGGCTCTTCTCTACCAAATGAAGGAAAAAAAAAAAAAAAACAATACAAGTTATTGAGTTTAGATCAATTAATGGAGTAGTTCGTTATAATCGAGTAGAAGAATCTAACCAGTAAATTCATCGCCAAAATCTACAAGATTCAAAAACTTTGATCGCAGCTAAACCCCAAGCAAGGCAAGTGAAAAACCTCCTTCGGTTTCCAGAATCATCGGGTAGGAGACAGACGCTCAACTAGCAATTAATATGGGCCGGCCCATCTAAAGCCCAATTTGAGCAAAAAACTGACTTATTTTGGGAGCCCAACTAAAATACTTTTTCTTTTGGCATCGGCCCAACTAAAATACCTACAATAATACTGGGTTTATTAGTATAAACAACTTTGATTAATGTCACTAATGCTACCATTCATTTACTCCTTATCTTCATATCATACATTTAATTTCTGTGTGTTGACAAAAAGAACACATTTAATTCCTGAGTTTCTTTCTTCTTTGAAATCAAGTGGGTAAAAGAAGTATGAAATCTAGAAAGAAATTTATTTATTTGATATGACTGAGAAGATACCCAGAAATTAGTTCATTCATTACAAAATGACTTTTAAAAACAAACATAATCTGCCACTGGACTCACAAACAAACCAAACGGGGGAAGTAAACATAGAAAATAACCTACACAATCCCTAAAAAAACAAGATGTTCTTCTCGATTATGATATAACAAACGCAGCAAGCAACATCCATTTTTTTAAGCCTTCTTGGGAGATTTGGTAGCTTTAGCAGCTTTCTCAGGCTTCTCAGTTTGAGACGCAGATCTCTTGGGAAGTAGAATCGGGTTAATGTTGGGAAGAACACCTCCACTCGCGATCGTGACTCCGTGTAGCAACTTCCCCAATTCCTCATCGTTCCTTATCGCCAAGCAAAGATGCCTCGGGTTTATCCTGTTCTTCTTGTTGTCTCTCGCTGCGTTCCCCGCAAGCTCCAAAACCTAAGAGAGAGAGAGACATTATATTCTTTAGATCTAAAGATTTAAATCACAAATTTCAAACCCTAATTTCATATCCAACAAATGCACATTCGTTTAAAAACATAAATCGACGGAGATCTGAGATTTCACCTCAGCGGCGAGGTACTCGAGAACGGCGGCGAGGTAAACGGGAGCACCGGCGCCGTACCTAATCGCGTAACGACCTTTCTTCAAGTAACGAGAGATACGACCGACGGGGAACTGGAGACCAGCCTTGACGGACTTCGAGACGCTCTTCTTCCGATCACCTCCTTTCCTTCCTCCGGCGCCTCTCGCCGGCTTCGTCGCTGCTGCTGCTGCTGCTGGTGACTCCATCGTGATTCTTCTCTTAAACAAACAAACACAAATTTACTTTTCCCTTTTAGACGGTTTTGTTGCGGTTTACGATTTGGCGTAACAAGAGGAATCAACAACCGTGTATCTATATACCATCTACTGCCACGCTGGCGATCCGTGTGTAAATGAAGTTCACCGTTCAGATTGTATTTTTTTAAATACTGATCCAACGGTCATAATTACACGATGTTGATGATGGGTCGAGACGTATGTAGTTACTAAACGTGGGGGGAGCCGGAAAGGAAGGAAGGGAGAGATATAAAAACACTCGAGTAATCTCAGCCGTTGGATATGCATAACACGCTTTATCTTTTAATTAATTAACTAGGATAAGACCCGCGCCTTGCGCGGGATGAAGCAATTATTTCTATTATATTTTGAAAAATGAAACAATAGTTCGGTTTCATTCGGATTAGAGGTGTTCAATCCGGATATCGGGTTTTGGTTCGGCTCGATTTTTTGATATTTCGATCATTAAAATATAACTACTACTCTAAATCTATATGTACTTCAGTTTGATTTGGTTTATATACCATCGGTTTTCAGTTTATTCAATTTTATACCAAAAAACATAATTATTTAGTTTGAGATCATATTATATATTATACAAATATATAATATGATCATATTTAGAGTCATATTGTCACAGAGTCATTTATTAAAAAAAATTATATATTTAAATAAAAGAATAAAAAATAAAAAAGGCTTCTATCATCTAATAAAATGATCAAATCTAGAATTAATATCAAAACACTAAATTTTGAAAATAAAAATAAAAAATAAAACAGAAGCATGAAAGAAATTTTGTTACATTCTTCCATATTTAGTGTTCATCAAACCACTATGTCTTCGATTGAACCCAACTCTGCTTGTTTAAAGATAAAAAAAGTTGTAAAGAATTTCAACTAATTGTTGTCCATCAAATTTATAATCTTTACTTCAATTTAGTTACTGTTAAAAAAGCAAAAGATCAAAATAAGATGTCTCAATTGTAATAAATTGTTAGCTATTTACAAATTATAATTATAGTTCAACTCATGTAACAAATAGATATTCATGCGTCGTTATAAATATATACATATTTACATATTTCAGTTTAATCGGTTATAAATCAAACCAAATTCAAATCCTATGGTTTTTATAAAATCACATCCATTCGGTTTGGATGGTATATACCAAAAATAACCATATTATCAATTGTTAATATCTTTTAAAAATATAAAATTAAAAAAGAACTAAGATATTAAAATCATTGATAACAAAAATTTTCAATGTGAAAAATTGATTAAGTTTATAATTTATAAATGTTCTTGAAAATTTATTGAAAACTTTGAAATTAAAATATTTATCTAATCTTATATGGTATATAGTTTAATCTGTATATATATATTTGTTTTATTATTGAATGATACTTTTTACTTATATAGTTTTAAAATCATGTATATCTTTTTATAATAAAAATTTTAAACTATTGATCATTAATTTTAAACATAATAATTTTAATAGTTTAGTTATTTATTCTCATTTTTTAAAATTCAAAATATAACCTATACGAAAAAATCTAAAATTTAATTTTATAGCTAATTTGATTGTTTAATTTATTTTAATAATGTAAAATTAAAGAAAATGATGGAGGATATATAAATTGTTATCAAATATTTATTATTAGAATCATTAAGTATCATATATATACATATTAGTCATTTATGGTAATTCCGTACGTTTTATTTATGGAAAGAAAATAAAATAGTAATTATATCTAGGGGATCAATTATTAAATGTCATATATATATATATATATATATATATATATATATTAGTCATTTATGGTAATTCCGTAGATTTTATTTATGGAAAGAAAATAATGTAAACTCGGTTTGATGCGTGGGATATATATTAATGTAAACTCGGTTACATGCGTTACATGCGTCTGTAATTATTGTTTCCCTAGCAAATTTCAATTGAACCTAAAGCTGCCACGTNATATATATATATATATATATATATATATATATATTAGTCATTTATGGTAATTCCGTAGATTTTATTTATGGAAAGAAAATAATGTAAACTCGGTTTGATGCGTGGGATATATATTAATGTAAACTCGGTTACATGCGTTACATGCGTCTGTAATTATTGTTTCCCTAGCAAATTTCAATTGAACCTAAAGCTGCCACGTCAGTTTAATTGGTATGCTAATTGATTGACAACTATGCAAGGTTACTTTTTAATTATTACAAACTTGAGGTTACATCTTTTCAAATGTTTCTCAATTAATATATAGGGGATTTATATATTTAAATCACCATTAATACGTGTTAACTAACTTACATTAAGAAAGAGAGTTAAAGATATTCAACTGTAATCTTCTAAGCTCTATGACAAAACCTGAAGCAACATCAATAGCTGCTCGAGCTGCAACCAAAGCTTCTTGTAGCTCTGAGTTGACGAGGTAGTAAGAACATATCTCTTTCAGAATCACATCATGGCGCTCTTGAAGCCTCGCCACGTTCTCTTCCGCAGTAATCAAAGCGTCATTCACTAGCTTCAGCTTCTCTATGGCTCGACGTCTCTGCCTCAAGATGGGACTAAGAGCAAATAAGAAAGACCCTGAGAGAGCAATTGTAGAAAGGAATATTATGCTTCCATAAAGACCCATGAACAGAAGGTGTTTTGGTATAAAGAAGGAAATAATATAAATATGTACAGTGGATTCATTACTTGAGAGAGATTTATTCTTTGCTTTTCCATGAAAGATTCTTCTGGAACTTCAAGGGACGTTGTTGTTGTCGTGATCGTTCTCGTCGTGGTTTCCTTTCTCTGGGACGTTTCATTGTCTCTAGACGTTGGCGTCTGATCTCTGGATCTGCCCATCCTTTTCCCCAAGATGAGAATCCGCTGTATGTTTTGCGTTGTTTCAATGAAACCAGCATGTCTGCTTCTGGGTATACATAGAGTGGCTTGTCGTCTTCGATATTTAGTTGCTTCTTCCCTTTCTCTGTTGGTTCTATAAAAGCTATTTCAACTCGACGAGACTGCAACACAAACCAAATGAGAGGATCATGAAACTAAAGAAGAAAGAAAGGTTGGTTGCCTTTTTGTTGCTTACTGTAACTACCTTGTTATCGATCTCTTTGATGTATCCCTTGGCTTCCATGATACGGGCAAGACCTTTCCACCAAAGACGATCAATCTCCATGAATTTCTGGGACTGTCCCCAACCGAAGGCATCATATGAATATCATGACAAACTCAATGCAATTTGTTGAAATACTAGATTACCTGTTCCCTGATTCTACTGATGAAGAAGAGAAGATTCGGCTTGTCGGATAACTTCTTCTGTTTGTTGTTTCCGAGTCCATAATCTTCGTATGATGCATGCTCAGAGCTATTCTCTGCCTGCAACTAATCCACAAGCAGCTTGAGAGACCGGAAGAAAGGTTATAATAGAAGAAATGAACTTCTGCGATTACACAAAAAAAACTTACATGAAAAGCAGTGATTACTTGAAACAAAAGATTAGTTTCCTCTCGTACATTTACTAGCTCCGGAGGCCCTTCAGTGCAAACATCGCATCTGTTTCATAGATCAGAAAAGTATTACGACAGTTTCCTAGTTTACCTTTATGGTCTTCTGAAAGAAGGATAGGACTTACAAGTTACACTTCTTGGAACTAAAATCCTCCCCAAAGTACTCTACGAGTATTTTTGCTCGACACTGTGAAGTGTTCATTCCGTATCTGCATAAGAGAAGGAGAATGAATGTAAAAGAATACAGAAATAAAAGTGAAAGATGCACACACACGTATTTGACAACCATACAGACCTGAAGCAATCAGATAGCATCTTGTAAGCTTGTTCTGTCTGTTCTTTGCTCCTACGGCTCGGCAAAAGTGTTGGTACTCTCGATAGATTAGCATAGAGCACTGTAAATTCCAGATTGTTTTAGGCATGCCAGACAAGATGAAATTTACACTACCAAAACAAAACAAATCAATATTAATCATCTCACCGCACTCAGCCAATTCCCCATCTCTTCCAGCTCTACCAGCTTCTTGGTAGTATGCTTCCAAGCTCTGCGGTGTCATTATTTCAGTGAGATGTAATAAGATAGATTTGTTTGTATTTTGGTGTCCAGAAATGTTAAATATTAAAATCATTTAAAGAGGTCTGAGAGACCTGTGGCCAACCATAATGGATGATTTTCCGGACATTTTTCTTGTCAATTCCCATTCCGAACGCAATTGTGGCAACAACAACCTGACGAGGAGTACCACAACGTCAAATATTCTTCCACATAAAGTGGGTAACAGAGAAGAACATTCAGTTTGAGTCAGAACACAATAGAACAATACCTGCAGCTTATCTTCGTGAAATTCTTGGTGAACTTGTCTGAGATGTTTCTTTGGCAACTAGGAAATGTAAAAAACTGTTAAAAACAGCCATACCAACATTTAAAAACAAAGCCTTTATTGAAGAATCTAAGAGCTTGCCATCATAAACTGGAAACAAAACAAAACAATTTATAATAGCTGCTTGGTTTATATAGTTTGACTTCATACCAAGTTAATACAGGTTGATAATTTTCATCTAAGAAACAAATTAGAGCTCCATCAGGTAAAAAGAGTACGATTTTCCAGTACATACCGATGCATTATAGGCTGCAGCCTTCAGTCCAACCCCACTGAGATATTTTGCAATGTTTACACTCTCCTTTCTTGTAGGAACGTAAATAATTGTCGGTCCTTTAAGATCCTTGGTCTGGTTACTATGATTGTGTCCAGATTCATCAGGTATATTCTTTCCAGAAAAGTCAGGCGTATCCAGTACTTCACCAGGAGACTTTGCACAGAACTCGCCACAAGCAACTGCAATGATAAAATCCGATCTAAACCACCATTCCTCAACACCAATGATATCAAGAAAAGATTAATAAATCATATAAGACTTCAGTTCTGTTGTCAGCATATTCACTTTGGATAAGCGAAACTTGGTCAGATGTCAAGCCTATTTACTAACGCTGTTATCAATTTAGTTACATGCAGTCACCAATTTTCCAATCAAAGTTATGTAATTTTATCTAGAGTTTCAGATTACTCTATGTTTCCAAACAAAATGAAAAGGAGCATACCATCCCAATCATCAACACTCTGAAAGACGTCAGTTTCGTCGTCCAGATTCTCTTCTGACATTTCTTTCCCATTTGAACTGTTTTCCTTTGCCAAAGAGCTTTCTGGGTCCTCTTCATCATCATCGTTATCTGTCTCATGGATGTTTTCCGCATCGTTATAACCAAAATCATTCTGCCCTTCTGACTCTCGTGAGACTACTGCTAGCTTTTTCACGGTAGCCTTTCTCTTTCCTGAGTACAAGTCAATCAAGTTCTGGAAGTCCTTTGCATATGAAGCTGACGACTTGGTTCGACTATGTTTAACCTGTATATGACAGAAAATATCAACTTTTAAGCTGTACATTTCATGGTCCACAATAAGCATCAAGTAGAAAGTTACAGATTAGTTTGTTAATCTTATTCCTAAAGTGTACGGCTGCAGAAAGAGTTCTATAAATATGAAGTGAAATCAAATCTGAGCTGGAAACTCACTGAAAATTGTAAATTTGGCCTGAAAAATGAAGTAAGTACAGTTTTTGTTTCCTTTGAAAGGTGAAGTGAGTCAAGAATATCTTCTTGTACGTGAGCTGTAGCTGTTGCAGTCAATGCCATTATCGGTACATCATATTCCAAGAATGCTAAACTGCTGGCACAAAAGTTTTTCCGCAACACAGATAATTTTCTGAAAATACGGCATTGGGAGATTTGTTTAGAAAACTAAGAGCACACACAGAAAAAGCACTTGAAAGCAATAACACTTGCAGTTTTGACTCTCAAAAACATACCTGTAGTCCGGACGAAAATCATGTCCCCACTTTGATACGCAATGAGCTTCATCAATCGCAAAAAGAGCGATTCCATGAGTCTTTGCAAGCTTCTGGAGTGGTTTAATCAGCCTGCGATAAAGTTCAAATCATCCTTTACGCAATACAAAAAAGAAATATTAAACCACCTGAAAGAAACTTCCTGAAAGTTGTGCTTTGTACCGGATCACAGTCTCAGGGCAAACATATATGATCTGATACATTCCCTGCATTGCCTTCTGTTCTATGCGATTATCAAGTTGGCCTGAACCAAGAAAACAAGCGGAGACTTTGTGCGTTGACAGCTTGAGGCATTGATCATGCATCAGGCTTATCAAAGGCGAGATCACAACAACAACTTTTCCAGTCAATAATGCAGGAATCTGGAAGCAAAGAGATTTTCCTGCACACATAAACCGCAATTAGAATGTTACTGACTCCAAATAGGAATGAAAAGGGCATCATCTATGAGTAAAAGAGAAAGCTACCAGATCCAGTTGCAGCTAGAACAAGACAATCCTTATGAGCAACCCACGTTGCCAAAGCCTCCCTTTGAAAACACTTCAGAGACGAAATACCAAACCGGACTCGTAGTATAGAATTAACTCTGTTCTCCCACGTTGATGAACCCTCTGAGCAACCACTTGACTCAGCAAACACCTGAGGAAGAGGAAGAGACTTTATCATCTCTTCTGAAGGATCAGACACTACTGTAGTCACAAAGCTGTCGCTTTTCTTCTTGTTCCGATCCACGGATCTAAAATGGTCAAGGAGACTCGACTGTCTCATTGAACCAGAGGAAAAAGAAGACGGCATAGCTCTCTTGCCAAGTGTCTTATTATTACTATTCTTTGTAGAACTAGCCGAAGAGAATCCACCGGTTCTTTTCAAAAGATACTCCACAGCTTCATCACATGACTTACCTACAGCTTTGACAGCTTCCAAAGCATCCAATTTTGCAAAACCCATTTCAACAAGCTTCATCACAACCTCGTCAGCAGACGAATCTAGCTTATCCATCGAATTCAAACTGTCTGGTCGACTAAAAGACTGGTCTTTTTTTTTATATGGGTATAGGCTTTTCAGACAGTAATAAACGGATCATAGAACAAGTTGATTCTAGTTACCGGATAATCCCCAAAATTCAGAATTCAAAACCCTAGAAGTCAAACAAATCGAATTAACTAACAATGTTCCGCCATTGCCAAATACAGAGAGCTTACGGGCTTTCTCGCTCACTTTGAGCGACAATTTTTTCTCTTTCTGGGAATAAGCAAGCGAGGAGATGGAAAGGAGTAGGGAATCGGAAATAAGAACCCTAGGCGCCAAAAACAAAATCACTCAACAACGAACGAAAGTGAATCACAATTGCCGCTCACTTTCTCCCAACCGACGTCGTTCTGGTCGTGAATTTTTATATGTCCACCTGTTTGATCTATTGTGCGAAAATCTCTATTTTATTGAATTTTTTACATGTTGGGACACTTTTTGTCTTTTTAATTACTTGTTGGGACACTTCTTACTTGTGGTGTACTTCCTCTCTTGTGTTTGACACTTATACCCTTATCTTAAGAAATCAGTGATTCATTGTTAAACCAAACCAACCAAACCAGTCGGAACACTAAAGCAAACCGGTTACCTCTACTCCCCTACTTTCAACCCTAATTTTGGGAACGAAACACGCCTCCTCTCCCAAACGGCGATTTTGAAAACGATTTTCAGTTCCTTCGCCATTCTAGATCTATCGAAGTTCTTCACCACCGTTAATTCACTCCTACACAAACTAACCGATCGCAAGCATACGAGTCATGCAAGGTCTGAGTATTTGTTCTCTTTTCTCTGCGTTCTCTCTCTCTCTCTCTATTTTTTTGACCCGCTGTATAGTTTACTTCAATCGTGTGTCTGAGTGTATGTTCATGTCTTTAGAATTTTTACTTTTATACACAAATCTATCTCCAAATTTTCCGATCTCATTTTCTCTCTTTACATCTTCGATTTGGACTCAGTTTTTGGAGACATGCAAGTTGTGATTTTGTATGGATTCAAGTTCCGATTTCTGCCACTTTTTATATCTCGTCTTCATTATCTGTTTTTTAACTTCCCCATTTTGTTATTTCCTTTGTGTTTAGGGAAGGATTATTTTGAGGAGGTGACAGCAAACCACCTTCCTGACCTTCGACTCCCCCCTAGACTCTTCGCCACAGACAGGTTTCAAAAGGGATGCGTTAACATATACTCCAAGCCTGTTCTTCTAGCATCTCTCAGTTATGTGCTACGTGACACCGATGAGTTCCAGTATATCAAGGACTCTTGCTTTGGCAAGTTGTTTGACCTCCCAGCTATTCAGTGTCTTGTTTCCTGCCAGTTAATACACTCCCTACTGTCAAGACAACTGGTTTGTGAAGACAAACACACTCTATGGTCTGTTTTCAGAAGGGATCCTATTAGGTTCGGCCTTCAAGAGTTTGGCACCATCACAGGATTACCGTGTGGAGCCTTCCCTGTAGGTTACAACCCCGATTGGGAAGAGCAGAGTAAAGCAGCACAAGACCCAGACTGGATCAAGTTGATAGGCAAGAAGAAATTCATCACAATTGCTCAGTTAATGACCAAGCTTGAGACTGATACAAACATGCCAGGCTGGAAGAAGCTTCGCCTAGCTTTGATTATTATCGTAGATGGTGTCCTCATTGCACATCAACAAAAGTCACGGGCAACTCTGAAATATGTCAAGATGGTATAAGATGTAGATGCTTTCTGCTCACACCCTTGGGAAAGAGAGTCTTTTCTGAAGACAATTACCTGCATGAAGCCTCCCAAGTATGTCCCTGGAAAATGTGAAGACCCTATCGCAGCACTCGTTGATATGTTAAAGCAGGAAACTTTCCGGCTTCAGGGATTCCCCCTTGCACTACAACTACTTGCCTATCAAGCTATTCCAAAACTGCAGTCAACGATCCCAATCCCTGTTGAGCCCCAATCAATCATGGAACTTGACTCTGATCATCTTCCTGATTACCCACCACCATCCCGGAATGACATACTACGCATTGAAGCTGAACCACATGTAAATTCACAAATCTTTATCCCATTTAATGTACATATTGATTTTTCCATATTTGTCATGAAGCTGATCATTAACCACCCGATTGTCTATTTTTGCAGCTTCCTGTTACATCGTTAATACCAATACAGAGTCAACCACAGCCTGGATGGGGAGTTTGGCCAGATGTTTGCAACGATGAACGGGTGTTATACATGGAGCAGCTTATTGGACATCAGATTTTTCATAAGCATATGTGGCATGGAGGAGACACATCTCAGCCCCTCTTCTCTCTCTCACCACTTGTTGTCCCACCTGTCATTCCCAAGAAGTGTCTCAAGGCCAAACCAACTTCATGCAAAGCGACTCAACCAAGTCACTCTGCAAGGAAGGTTTCCAAATCCCGTAACCAGAGACGAATCAGCAACTATTTTCCTCGAGCTGTTTCAGCCAGGACAAAGTAATGGAATTGCTTTCTGAAGTATTAGGCATAGTCTCCAGCCTTCAGAAAGAGTCAAAGCAGACGTTAAAGCAGGTCCGTTTTTTGCTAAAGCGTAGGAAGAAGCATTCTACCACCAAGACCTCTGCCTTCCACACTCTCATTGGCCGTACAAAGAAAGGACAACCATCCCATAGAGGAATTCAGACTGAAGCCCAAGACCAAACTTCTGACAAGGGGTGTCAAACCGATTTTCTAGATGCAACATCTCCTAAGAAGACGGTACGTTTTTAGTTTTGCATAGACTTCAGAATTAATCCTTTTAATTGGAAAATACCAAAATATTTGTTTCTCGGCTATATCTCATTGCTTCCCTTTACTTATCATAGGGCTCCGTCCCTATGGAGGAAGAGGACCAGCTTATCAAGTCCCCTGTTGTCAGCCAATATCGTGTACATTTCTACGGCTCAACATCCACAACTTCACCTACCAATGAGATAGCCCCTGTAACCTCTCATATCGGTCCTCAACATCCCGCACACTCACCTGTCCACACATCCCCATCACACATTCCCTCTTCCATCCACAAAGATTCACCTATCCACCCAAATCCCACTTCTCCCCCTAACACAAACCACCACCTTTCTCCCGTCCACAACACACCTTTACATACACCCATCCACCCAAGTCCCACTTCTCCCCCTAACATGCGCACACGTTCTGTGATATACGACTCTAGCGCTCACCCTAACAGTCCACAAACCCACCACATTCTGTCCCATGGTTTAGAGATATTTGACCCCATCAGCCCTGATCCTCCTTCTATTGGACAGCCAAAATACGACACTTCAACAAACCAAGCCTCGCAATGTCAACTCCCTTTCACCCCTGACACGTCTCCCAACAAAAGCGAAGGTAGTCTTTCTGGTTTCATAGGTCATGCGCGAACACTCAACGCATTCTCAGCAACCGCTACATCCAAAGCTTTAGTAACCAACATCCAGGTCAACACACATTTTACTGTGGTTATCACCCATATGCTGTGTGGTAAACTCTCCTTTGTTGAGTTTATAATTTCAATCTCTTGTTCTTTCTTAATAGGCTCCCAATGATGGCTTTGTGGGATTGAGCCAAAATGAAGGCTCCCCCGAGTGACCTCCAACAATACTTGTTCCGTCAGAAAAGGAGGACAGCGACATCGTCGAACTTAGTGAATGATCTCCCGACAGACCGCGGTCAAGACATGTTCCGTCACGGGAGGAGAACCAACTTGCTCATGAACTCAACCGCGTCAACACTATTCCAGAAGTTGACCTTATCACCCCACTACCTCAAATCCAATGGGATATTTTCCAAAGAATAATTGCCAACAAGAAGGATGTGTAAGTCCAAATAAAAACAAACTCTTGAACCAACTAGCACAATCTAAGAATTTGTCTAGATTAACTTACACATATTTTTCTTGCAGGTTTCACATAACACCTTCACATTTTGAGTTTACCAACAACTTCCTCCTCCAACTAGCCCAACCTAAGCACTGGACATCAGCTTATGTACGCTTATCCTTCACCACCAGCCAATTACTTGTTCTGTTTGTTTTTTTCTTTTTTGCGTTTTCTCACTATTGTCATTTAAAATGCAGCACATGGATATACTCATGTACATGCTAGCTGAAAGGCATAGCCGTCTATTTCAGCAACAGAAGTTGTCCTTCACTCCCCCTTCTCTTACATTTGGAATCAAGCTCAAGACCAAGAAATTCAATGCTTCAAGTAGGAAAGGAAGTTTCGACTGGGGGGAGCCGCTCAATGAAATTGTCCTCCATCCAGGAAGGAAATGGATGGCAGATGTGGTCACGGTCTACACTCCAATGTTATGGGGCAATAAACACTGGGTTGGTTTGGCTATCAACCTTGACTTGGGTTTTGTTGAAATCCTAGACCCGCTGCCCACGCTTTACAGAGACAGCTCTATCGGTCGTTTCATGGCACCCATTCTGAAGGCATTACCCTATCTCGTGAAGAAGGTGGCAAATTACGACCTTACACAGTTCCGTGGTCTTCAACCCTTTGGATGGTCTCGTGTTTCAGACTTGTACATCAACGAAAGAGGAGGTGACTGCGGCCCAGTTTCTGTCAAGTTCATGGAAATGCACGCACACGGCGATCCCGAACCTCACATGTCCACCTTCACAGACAGCACAGTCGACGCCTTCCGTAAGTAGTATGCACTTGATATATATATAAGACCATCGTCATGCCCTCGTACTACTCTCCACGCTCTTTCTTCATTTGAATGGAAGTTGCAACTTCTATCTTCTCATCTTTCTTCTCATCTTTAAAATCCAGGCAGACTAATTTATGTGTTTTAGGAGTTTTTTGTGTTTTATAGGGTGTGGAACCCCTCCTAACCATGTTAAACTTACTTATGTACTACTTTTCTGGTCCACTATCGCCTATCTATCCAATATCTGAAATTTATGTATCTCCTTCCCTATCTACTATCATCTTTGTTTTAAAATGATTATTTCCAAGTTAATCACATTTAAATGGTGATTCTTGTCAATTACCAAATGAGAACTATTCGAATAACAACAACCATGACATATTATTTGTGGACAGACTATGCTTTTTAACTTATGAATCATATATACTAAAGGTTTAGCTGTGGACAGACACATTTCTAACCAAATACAAACCAAATACCGGTTATCCTATTATAACCAAATACAAACCAAATACCGGACATGTGGACAGACATATCCATGTGGATAACCGTACAAGCCCGACGTGGATAGAGCGCTGACCACAATTTCATTCTGGTGTCCCACAAACCG